TATATTCCCAACTTGATCCATCAGAAAAGAAAGTTTTTTCGACTGTATTATAAAACCGGTTTATTGAAATTTAAGGTTCAAGTAAAACAGCTGGATAAAAGTATACGCAAGGAGATGATTTCAGTAAAAGAAACTAGCTGGAAAAAATTCTGCCCTAGCACACAAAATTCAACTGATACTTCTTTCTGGAAACGCATTCGAAAATGTATTAACCCGAAAGAAAACTCAGAAATAAAAGAATTAAAAAATACTAACAATGAACTTCTAACAAATGACATAGATAAGGCTAGTCTTCTGCTACTTCTGTAGCAGTCTTTTCTTCCTGCGGATGAATTTGACAAATCATACTATGACAGCGTCGAACATTATGTAAGTAACAATAATCCCTTTACTGCTACTCCTTGCTCCAAATTTGATGCTCCTTTCACTCTTGTAGAACTTGCGTCTGTCCTAAAAGTTGTTAAACCAAAACTTTCATCTGGAAACCACAACATTCCAGCCGTTGCTTTTAAACACGTTCCTATTTGTTTTCTTCCTATTCTCTGCTTTCTTTTTAACTTTCTCTGGACATCAGGGACGTTCCCTGACCCCTGGAAAATTCAAAAAATTCGTATGTTACTTAAAAAAGACAAACTGAAAACCGACCCGGACAGCTACCACCCTATTAGTCTTCGCCCAAACCTTTCTAAAGTCTTTGAACGACTCGTAGCATTATGGCTAATCGCGTGGATGAATTTTTATAACATCATCCCTCTCGAACAAAGCGGTTTCAGGAAAGGCAGGTGTACAGTGAATCAGATTTTAAATATAATTCAGCAAGTACAAGCATCTTTCGATAAAAGCAAACGAACAGTGGGTTTGTTCGTCGACTTCGAAAAAGCTTTCGACAAAATTTGGCGTAATAGCCTTCTTTTTAAACTAAATGAAAAACAATGTCCAACTCGACTTGGCAATATATTAAAATCCTATTTCAAAAATAGAAAATTTTTTGTTCAAATTTCAAATGATTCTTCTTCACTATATGACTGCCTTTTCGGTATACCTCAAGGGAGCATCCTCTCTCCTTTTCTCTTCAGTTTCTTTATTCACGATCTCTCTTCTTTCTGCACTTCTGCGAAAGTAAACGTCTCTATGTATGCCGATGATTTAGCGGCCCTGTGCGAATGTTTCCATGCTAAGCAAGGCGAACAATTGTTACAAGTATTCTGTAATTGTCTTTTCACCTAGTGTAAGCGGTGACGTTTAAAAATCAGCTACTCAAAAACAGTGTCTTTATTTTTCTCCAAATGTCCGTCTATTTTCCTATTTCTGAACGGAAATGGACTGAAACAAGTAAAAACTTTTAAATACCTAGGTTTTATGCTGGATCAGTCGCTGTCTTTTTGCGCTCACATTAATGATATTTGTATTCGTACGCGGAAACGTATGGGTACTTTAAAATCTGTGTGTGGCAGACATTGGGGACTTCTTCCTCATACAGCTGTGTTTGTTTACAAAATGTATCTTTGTCCTATGTTAACGGACGCTTCTCCGTGTCTCTTATGTATTTCTACTTCTAGCTGGACTAAACTTCAACGCATACAAAACGTTAGTTTAAAAATAGCATTACGTCTCCCACCATGTTTTCCCACTCATGAACTTCACAAGCGCGCTTCTTGTGTTTTATTAAAAGACTTTGTTTTCCAGCTGTGTCGCTCTTTTACTATGTACGGTTTTCTTACAAATGATATCTTTCTAAATCTTATTTTTAACTATCTGTTTTATCAAGAAAAGTATGAAACAAACATATTACGTTTGCGCTTAAACCCAATCAAAACTATTTTAAATAAACTGCTGAATTTATGGTTTAAAGATGTGTGTTTCTTTGTTTATAATATGTTTAAACTTTATCTCTCTACTGTGTCATGAAAGCGGGCAATAGGCCTGGTCATGTCTTTCGCAATAAATCATCATCATCTTTAAATAAAAAGGGCATTTATTATCAAAAGTTTTAATAACAGTACTATATTTCATTCAGTTCGTTACTCTCATTGTGCATCTATCTACGTCAAATTTGTGATGAAAATTTATTTAAGATTTTTTTCTTATTACTGATATTTATTTATTCACGTTCATTAAATTCATGATATAAAGAGAACGTTAATAACATCGTTTTCTACACGAATGAGTACATTCAGAACATCCAAAAAATGGCAAGAAGAAAAATATAATAGATTAGATTTCGATTGATCAAACATTGTTAACTCAAAGGAACTTTTCGGATATCTCATGTTTGATGTACTTTTCTTCTATACGGAGATGAACACGATTGTGTGCCTTTTAGTTTTCTTTTTTATGGGGAAATATTCTTGAGATATAGAAGATGCTTGCCCAAACAAAAGTAAAATTCTAGTAAATTTCAAATCTACCGAGTCAAACTCCTGATAGAACATAGATTTTATTGTAAAAATCGGTTTTAAAATCTCGTTTTACTTCATAAATCGTCTAAGTACGTAATCAACATCGGGTGAATACTAAGACCATGAAAGTGAATCATAACAGCGGATTACTATTGTATACTGATTTTCAGACTCTCTCTCAAGGTCCTAGAGACCTCCGGCTGTTGCTAGTGTATCTCACGATTTTCAATCTTAAAATGACTATCCTCCGAAGCACGAAAAAAGCATCGAACATCGCCTAATCCATCCTGGTGATCAATTTACTAGTTGATGTATTTAGATGCAATTTCTCTCGATAACCCACGATGTAACAGTAATCGGACAAAATATCTCGCCCTTTTTCTTGTGATAAAATACATTTCAAAGAAATGGAAAAAATCTGTTGAGAATCTACATTTAAAGAGCTTTCGAACTATGTGTCTATCGCTTTTAGTCTCCTCAGAATGAGCGAATCTTTGCTATGCCCTAAAAACAAAGTTTGTAAAAAAAGAAAATCTGGTATTTTTCAACAAATGTAAGTCACGGGCTTGGCAAAATCAAAAAGTAAGGAAGGTCTCTTGTGGATAAACTTTTTCTGCTCTCACTTTCTGCAACAGAACGCAATAAAAGGTGTTTCCTCGGTCAGACGGAAAATATTTGTTTCCAGAGAAGAAAAGTGTGTGATCTCTTCCACCCATCATGCACCCCGCTCAGTACTTGTATTCCTTATATAAATTTTTTGTAGTACATTACTAAAACGTTTTTAATAACGGCATAAGATTGTAGAACAGACAATTCTCTACGGAATACGATGCTAAAATAGAATACACGACGATCGGAAATTATTCGCGGTTTTTTGAACCTCATTTGTTACCCAAAAAGGATTTCGGGAAAAATATAATTTTTCACAAAGCAGGCTTTTGGTAAAATTAAAAGTTTGACCAGTTTTTGCAATGCAAAAATAATTTAAGATCGTCTAGTTGGCAGAGAAAATTCTGCTTTATAAACTAGTAAGTAAACCAAAGTTTAATCTCTCACTTTGAAGTGATTATTGTCAAAATGAAAACATATCCAAACTCTGTATCGCTACAATCTAAATGTTTGATGATAACAAAGATTCACACACTGGCAGAAGACTAAAAATGATAGAATATTTCTGAACACATAATTAGAAAGGTCTCGAAGTATACATTCAAAATAACTATTTTTAATATTCTCGGAACGTGCTTTACGACAAGAAAAATGAAGAGACATTTGTCCAGTTACTTTTTCAGCGTAGGTTATAACTAGATAGCCTTGATCATAAATTGACATTTACATCGGGTTTAACTTAATGCATGTTCGAGGAAAGCATCTAGCTAAGTCTATGCTACACCTAGTGCATCTAGATAAAAGAGTAAAAAATATTGACCGATACGTCAGCTATAGCATCTAGATAGTTTGTCCGAGATACTTTTGCTTGGACAAAATCTTATTTGCTGAAAAATCCATATTGTAGCAAGAATTTGCTTACATTAATTAAATTTGAAACTGATCCAAATTCAAGAAATGTCAGTAACATTTATCTACAAATACATGTCTTATTGAATGGATAATTTTAACTTGTTTGATTAAATATTTGTCCAGTCAAAATAACGGAGGAACCTCCTTAGATATGCCCCTCCCTTGATTTCAATGATCTTTTGCCGGTAGATAGAGGGTAGTGTCCTAGCAAAAAGCCTAGAAGGATTTGAATTCTTATTGTCTCCTTCAAAAATTATGAATGTTTTTGTGTTATTTGTACCAACTATTCATAGAAAACATGAAAAAAGTTATAACTTCGCGAAAATAGGAAATTAAGGCTTGAAATCTTTTGACATCGTATTACTAATCGTCTGTGAATAACACAGAAAGTATCATGCAATTAACTATTTCCTTTACTGAGTTATGGAATTTTTACTAGTTTAAGAAAAGGCGTGCAAAGTAATGTTTTATTGAAAAATTATTCTTTTTTCCTTTCCTTAAACTAATGAAAATTCGATAGCTTAATAAAGGAAATAGCTAAAAGCCAGATATTTTCTGTGTTATTTACAGATGATTAGTAATACTATGACAAAAAATTTCAAGTCTTAATTTCCTATTTTCGAGAAGTTATGACTTTTTTTCGTGTTTAGATGTGTCTAGATCAAAGTCAATGTTTTTACGTATATAACGTGAATGTAATAATCGAAATGGTTTTTTAACATAAAAACAATCATGTTGCTACTAATAAAGATAATAACACTGTATCCTCCTGTTACTGTAAAAAAAAAAACTCAATTTCTATCTTCTAACAGGAAAAAAAGTAGAAAGAATAAGTTGTTTTTCATATTTCACTAGGGAACGAGAGAAATTAGAAAGTGAGCATTTTTTTAATTTATTACTAAAATAAAAGCAAATTGTTCACTTACGAATAAAATATATTGTTTTGCTTTATAAATATTTAAACTATTAAAAGAAAAAAACACACACACATAAAACGTGAAAATATATATTCATGAATAAAATTTAAATAAATTGAATTAATGTTGTTTTTATTATAGTCAAAAGTTCATATCTATTAGTATGGCTGTCTATTGTATAATTAGTGGACTATTTTTATTTATACTTGGTTTATTTGGGAATATTTTATGTATTATAGTATTTTTAAGATCAAAACTTCGTTCACGTCTAGTAACACCCTATTTTATTGTATTACTATTAGCTGATTCAATTCATTTTAGTTTTCGTTTAATTAAATTATTTTATTATCAAAAACATTTTTTTAATAATAGTTCATGTTCATTTAATTTTATTATAGATTTATTTAATTTAGTTACAAAAAAATTATACATAATTCTCATACCATTTATTCATTTTGAAACTTATATACGTTTTTCTTTAATTTTAATGGCATTTTTTAGTGTTCAACGATATATAAATATTAGACAATCAATAATAAAATTAAAAATAGTTTCTAGTAAATATTGGTCATATATTTTAATTTTAATTGCCTTTATTCTTGCATATCTATGTGAATTATTTAGTTTAACATTATTTTGTTCAAAAGAAAATAATCGTCAATTATCATATAAATTATTTATGTATACGATTCAACATTTAAATGAACAATATACAAAACTGTTAACATTTGCAATGTTAAATAATAGTATACATTATCATTGTACTCTATATCATATAGAAAATATTAAATCAAATTTTACTATAACATCAAAACATATTTGTACTAATGATCAACTATTGGATATTTTAGGTAGGATTTTTAATTAATAAAATTAAATTTTTTTAATTTTAATATACTTTTAATTTGTTTTTTAGCATATTATTTTAATTTATATGAATTTTCAATTGTAAAATTAATTCAAATTATTCATTATCATCAATATGGACAAAAAATACATCGAAATGAAATACATTTTATCTATCAAACTCATAAATGTTTGATGAAACAAGAATCAGATTGGTTTTTAAAATATTATAATTTTTTGTATAATAGTAAAATTGGTCTAAATCGATATACATTACTATTAGGTAAGAATTAAATATTTGTCACGACGAATAACGGATGTTCTAGAATAAAAAATATTTTCCTAAATATGAATACATTTTTCTATCATTTCCTATTTATATACTAAATGATATACAATTTGGTTTTATGCATGGCAAGACTAAAAGCATCTAAAAAAGCGCCCACTAGAAAACATCCACGAAAAAGAGCATAGTAAAAAAAAAAGCGTGAACAACAATACGCTCACAAAAATTCATCCAAATAGAAGCGTTAAGGCTCCCCCCCCCTCACCTCAGAAAAGAACTTTTTTGTCTTACATCCGATTTTGATGCTACTTTTAGCAAATGTTTCTCAGATCAAAGTGTGGTTATGACACTTTCTTTTCCTCGCTACCTCTTACCATTCCGGGGTTTTTCAAAGTCCAAGGTCAAAAACCCACCCTCCACTGTGGGGCACTTTCTTTAAATATACTTCAAGTTAGAGATCTCGAGTTGGTATTATTTTAAACTAGATACCTAACTCCGTGAGCTGATAGAACTATATTTTTGATTTAGGTTTTTGTTGGTTTTCTAAAGATCCAAGATCCTCAAAACCGCAAAAATCCTTTCGGATTTTCCCAGAGATCCTTGATTTTCTGGAAAACTAAGGCCTAATTCAAAAATCGGCTTCCATCAGCCCACACAGTTGGTGTCTAGTTTAAAATAAAACCAATCCGAAATCTCTATTTTGAAGTATTTTTTAAAAAGAGTGCCCCGCACTGGGCATGTTCAAACAGAAAACGTGTTTTGAGAGAAAACGCTATGCACTTGTTGATCTGTTTTAGGATCTGTAGGAAAATGCTTGTAATGTTTGAACGCAAGATCATACAAAATTGTGCATTGTCTTAGTTTGATCAGAAAAGTCTGCTCTACAAATCTACATGTTCAGAAAAAATTTACTTCCTTAAGCGTCTAGAAAAAATATTTGCCGATCCTGATTTTAAAGGCTTCTAGAAAATTTGCTCAATAACCCGAAAAAACAGTTCTAGGCTCAAAAGCGCTACAGATTCTGAAAGTAGACACTTCAGGCTATTTTTCCATATGCTTATCTTCAAATTGATTTTTTGATACAAAAAGATTTCATGCTGACGGGCGGTTCTTAGTGATAAGCATACTATTTAAGTGCATACTGCATAGATGAATCGTATCATTGCACTAGCGTATCTCAGAAATGACTGATTTCTTGCGATAGTGGATCGGTCCAACAGGTCAAGCGTGTCTCCAAAGTATTGTGCAGGCTAAACTGAGCCAAATATTATTTAGAAAACTCTTCAAATTTTTTCGTGTGACTAAAAACATAAGAAAAAATTTGTCCACAAAATAAGCGTTCAGTTAAAAAGCATACCAATATGTGACGAACAAACCGTCTACTAAAAAGCGTCAACATTTGGACGCTTTTTTTTTGCCGTGTACAAGATTTTATATTTATTTTTAAGATTTATCTTTGATGTTTGGGTACAGTAACTCTAACGAGAAAAGCTCAACATTTTTTAACTGTATTTTCAAAAAAATCGATTGTTTGCGCAAAACCCACTAAAAATTACTTATCTAATAAAATAAGGTATGCCGAAAAATTTAGCAAGAAATTTTCTACAATATGCTGGTTTTTTTAATGAGAAATAATGATTTTTTAGATGAAATCGGAGCGAAAAGGAGTCTTTGAAAAAGGTCATTTTCGGCCCTCTTAGCGACATTCAGTATTTTCTAGTTTTTTCAAGTAAAAACAGTAGTAGATTTATTTGTGCGTTACATAGACTAATGGAGCGCGAAATTCTGCAGCTTTTGGCCTATAAAGTAATGATTTGAACCTTGAATTTTATACTGAAATAGCCATAACGTTTTTTTAGTGCTAGAAAAGTCGATGGACTTGAAAGTTTATGTATCAAAGTCACTGGCAATTGAAATAAATTAACTTCAAGTAAACTCTTTTGTAAAATATGAAGTTCTTTACCATTTGACGGTAATAAAATTATTTCAAATTTTGTAGTTTGCACTTTAAAACTGCGTGTTGTAGATTACAACACGCAGTTTTAAAGTGCAAACTACAAAATTTGAAATTTTTAACTACAACTTGTAGTTAAAAATTTTTAACTTTTCTTGTTAGGATTATTGTATCGAACATCAAAGATAAATCTTAAAAATAAATATTTAATCTTGTAGAGAATTAAATTGTCTACCGTTTGATATATAAAGAAATTTCTTTTATAAATAGAACATGCGAGAAAAATGTATTAAAATTTAGTGTAATTTATTCTTAGACATCCGTTATTTTTAATTTCATTTTTTTTTAACTATTTAGTATTTGGAAATATTTTACCATCAGTCATAACGATAATTGGAAATATTTTATGTGCTAAACATATAATAACGTTCAAAAATAAATCTTTTTTATCTATGTTATCAAATAGACGACGTACAGACGAAAATCGTCGTGTTCTGATTATAATTACGATTGAATGTTTATTAGCAATATTAAATTCATGGTTAATCGATGTTTTACTAAGTATATTCTATTGTAAAACAAATTTATTTATTGGGAACGATTGTCCTCTATTTATACGAAAATATTATGCTCTAACAACAATATTAGATTTTTTTAATTCAATAACAAATATTTTTCTACATGGTATATGTTCTAAAATATTTCGACAAGAACTGAGAATATTATTATGTTGTCAAACAGTTAACAAATTAAAAAATAAGTATCTCAATTCTAATAAATGTATGACTAGTAAGGTATCATCATATCTACTACAATATCCAACAAAATTAGTACCCTATGAACACAATCTTACACAAGTGATGATGAAAAACTGGTCACTCACAACACAAATATTAATTAAATATCAAATAAATCAATTAAAAGGAAGTTGGGTTTAGTGATGATTAAACATTATATATCTTTTGAGATAAACAAGATAATTCTATATTAAAAATAAATCGGTTTAACGTTAGAGATTGAACCAGAAATACTTGTAATAAAAATAGTTTGATGATACGAAACAATAGAGAATAGCAGTGTAAATGAGCTAACTTCCCATAACTTTCAAATCTAATTGTTCTTAGGTGTTCATGTACGTATTCTGATGCTCATTCGCGGTCAGATAGCGTATGACTTTTCTTATTTATTTGAATACATAGTTTTAAATTATGTTTATTGAATACTGGAGTCATATAATCATTCTTCTGAGTTTCCCGTCTTCTTTCAAATCATTAAACGCTTACTTGACAATATTTAGGAGTTCTAATCGAATCAGAATAAATATATTGTGGAGATGATCTACATGATTACAGAAGAAAAAAATAGTTTTAATTTTGTTTTTTCCACGGCTAGGATAGCTAATATCGGCTTCTGTCGTGGGCTACTGTTTGATATTCTATAGCGGAATCCATTTAAAGAGTTTTAAGAGCCAATGCAGATAAGCCACGACCAGCCGTGCTCAATCGACTTTCTCTAAACTTGATTTCAATTACATAGGTCAAAAGTACAATCAATAGTAAGTTTTTTGCCGCAAATCACAGCTCTACAACCTAAGTAGTTATTGAGATCTTCAAATTTTAAGAAAAGTTGCCGTTTTTTTGGTGGTGAATTAGGATCAATTAGCGTTTAATCTTGGGTGTGTTATTTTTTAACGGTCGGACTTAGAGATATGAAAATTTCAGCACAAATACAACTTCGATCAGGCTAGAACACAGTACAAGTCCGATCTGTAGATGTCGTTTTATTAGCAAGTTATAGATGACGCTACCGCTACTACTTCACCATTCATTATCTCGTGCGTAACCAGTTCAGTAAGGCTCAGCCGTTTAGGGTAGATACTAGAAGAGTGGAGTGATAAAACGGCAAAAGAAAAACTTTGGACTTCTCAGAGGAACGCGAGATATTGAATTTTTAGCGAAATTTCAGCATCGACGGATGGACTCAATCCAAATAAAACCTACCACCATTTGCATCGACGTTTGACATCAGTGGCGAGAACTATCTCATATTATGCAGCTCAGCAAGCTGAACCGAATAGTGAAAACCGCAAGCCTCTGGCCGTGTTAGAAAAGAAATGATAGCCATTTTACACTCGCAGCGGAAAAATCCATTTTCGTCATTTTTCGGCGGATTTGATCGAACTTGTAGAACATCTGTGGACCACATTATCTAACGCAGAACTTTGAACTTGGTATAAAATGGAAGAGCGCGTCTAGTTCTATATATTTCGATGAAGAAAAGTTATACTACACCTTAGGGTCTTGAGACAGGAGTTTCTGCAAAACTCGGTTTTCTAGAAAATTTAGTAATCTTAAAATTTCTTTCAGAGCTTTTTCAACGATATCATTAGATAGCCCTTCAATTCTCCACAAAATGAGATGCTGGCCTAGTTTATACGATCTTGTGTCAAAAAGTGCATTAGAAAATACGACACAGCTCGAAAACGGCAATACCCACTGACAAAAATAATCAAAATTCATGCCGGATCCCGCGGATTATCAGTATTAAAATATCTGGCGATGTTTCTTACCTTTACGCAGGATTTTTATACTGTCAGCCCTGACAGAACTCTGCATAGTTTATGTAGGACCAGCATGGAAAAAATCCTGCGTAAAGGTAAGAAACATCGCAAGACTTTTTCACTTATTCAATCCACAAGTTTTTTCCTACGAGATCTCACAGAATTTTGTTGGTTGAAAGAAAAAGGATTTTGTTCTCCATGTCTATCCTGCGGTATCCAGCAATCTTTTCTCACCAATGTCTGTCAGGATGACCGTGGAGGAAGTTGTCTGTATTTTATTTTTTTTGGAAAGTTTAGTACTTTTATCTTATAAAGTTATAAAAAATTTTCTCGTGTTCAATAAACTTCTAGAAAACGTATACCTTAATATTTTAACTTTAACACGCATTTTCATGTGTACAAAACCAAACTATTAATGATAGTTGAAAAGATCTTTTTTATGTCAGGAACATTCTATTTTTTTCCATCAATAAGACATTAAAGTCATTAGAACGATCACGCTACTGTGGAAAAAAGATGTATAGCAAAGCAGAGATATCACACTATTCTAAATTTCTTCAGCTTTGAATGGTATCTTCTCGTTTCGTCCCGTTTATTTTCTAGCATTCTATTCATTTTTTTCTAGTTTCTGTCTGGAACTGAACTTGGAATTAAATGTGGCAAATGTGTTAATACTTTAAAATTACCTGTTTCATTGTAACTCGTAAATAAAATAATAAATGTAACTTATAAAGCCATCTATCAATTTGGTGTCATGAACAATTGTACTAATGTTGAGAGTCTAAAGCGATAACTACATGTTGAAGTTTGTGTACATGCACATATTTGAAGTTAGGAACTCAGGAACTGAGAAATTTGTGTAGTCATATATGTGTGTATATGTATGAAGTCACGAACTCAGGAACTTAGAAATTGATGTAACCGCTCGCCTCGCATAATAGAGGACCACCTGGTCTGGTATTTTGTCCGGCAGGTCGAGTTCTAAAGGATAGTTTTCTATTGCGGTCAAATGATGCCACCTGCTAGTAGTCCATCGGTAAGTCCGACGTACTTGAAGTCCATCCCGTATTAGAAAATATTGGAGCGAAATTGTTTTGAAAATTGCTATAGGGTTTATTTCCGATTTTCTTTGGCGAACATAGACCATGGTCTTCTATTTGACTTTCATGTCATATAATCGGCAGTGGGCTTCTAATAGGGGATCGTCGTCTATTATGGGAGAGGGTTTAGTCGTATATATGTGTATATAGATGAATTCAAGAATTAAAAGACTACTAAATCACAAAACAACTTTCACAAGCCTATACAACAAAGATAGAATTAAAATCGAAGCACTTCAGAATTCTAAAATGACACAGTAGAAAAGACTTTCTAAAATTTCTGTTCTAAATTTCTATTTGGTCCGATGACGCTTTTTATCTAGATCATAAATATCAATTTCATTTTGGATAAAAAGGCTTTTTTGATCAAAATATTACAGAGCTGTCAAGTTATCATTATACAATAGAAGGCTGACTTAGGGCTAAAGTATTAAATTTTTGACATTCTACGCTACCGAGAGTTCCAAAATAACTCGCGTAGAATCGCACTAGAAAAGCAAGAGTTCCAGAACTTCAGAATTTGAACACTGCAGAATTTCAGAATCTGAGAATTTCACAGTTTCTACGAATAACTGATATCTTAATGGTTATAGAGAATTAAATTGGCTATCGAATCATAAAAAGAAATTTTTGTTTGTGCTGCATACTAGCTGAGATATTGAAATTTTAAAATGAAGAAGATTTCGAAATAATTTAATTCTTTTAATGTACTTTTTCCAGGTACTTTAGGAAAGGCTGGACCTGTACGGAAGTACCCAGCTGACAAAATTTGAAATAGTACACCTCCCTACATATTTCCGAAAAGTGATTGAACTACACATCAGTTCTTTGAGATCTTGTTAACTCACACACTACTCGACTAGTGCTACAAAAGGCGTAAGGTATTGACTTTGGCCAAGTGGTTTTTCTTGTAGCGGTTTTCTAGAAATCCCGTCAAAATCCTATCATCGGGATAGGGTCAGGAACGGGAAAAAATACTAAATTAGCCATAAAATGACATGCTGAAACCGAATTTCAGGTTAGTTTGGAATCAATATTTATGAGCAATTGAGGATTTTGACGGGATTTCTAGAAAACCGCCATAAGAAAAACCACTTGGCTAAAATCAATACCTTACGCCTTTTGTAACACTAGTCGAGTAGTGTGTGAGTTAACGAGATCTCGATGAACTGATGTGTAGTTTTCGAGGGAGGAGGCCAGGAAGGGCCTCACGGCTACGCTTACTATGAAGAAGTAAAAGATGTTAGAGACTTTATTATTACGTCATACGAACAAACTTCGGAGCCGCTTTTATTTGAATATAAAAAAAGTTATGTTTTGTTAGAATTTGAGCTCGTCCGACACGATATAAAACGAGTGATATCTGCTAAGGCAGATAAGGTCCTCCAGTCAAAAATTCTTTCCGAATGTCAGTGAAGAAAATCTTATTTACAGATAGAAATATGCAACTTTGTATGCTCTTTTCAGCTAGCAGTATGAGAACGCTTGATAGTATTAGATAAGGTCAGATTTCGCTGTTCTGGCACCCCTAAAAATGCTTCAATTCAGAACTTATGGCCG